TAAGTATAGAGTATTATGTTATTTTTATCGATGATTCTGACGAGACAATAGAGGCTTTTACTCTTAGCAGCAGTACCAATTCTACTATTAATTTCTCTTCAATTGCAATGACAACTGTTAATAGCACTTCTTCAATTGGAACAACAACACCACCAGCTGGTGATTTCAAGATTCATCAACATAATCGTCAATCATCTTATCATGAAATTCCATATAAACAAACAGAAGTCAATTCACAAACTAACGTAAAGCTTGATAACATAATTAATCAGGTAAATTATATTTATTATTCTTTATTAAATAAATGATAGTGAAAATAATAATTAACATTTTTATTATTTATGCTTTATATAATTATAAAGGCCATTAAGTTTTATCACCGTGATTCATTGTGGAATCAATTATGGAATTGTGGTGGAAGTATTAATACTGGAGGGGGTAACATAAGTGGTAATAATGGCGTTAAACCTATTAGTACCTCGGAATTCTTTGTTATGATCAAGCGTTGCTGTTGTAGCTGTTCCTGTTGGATTTTCGTTATTATTATTACTGCTGCTACCATCGTCAATTATATTCAACCCTGGTTTACCATCAATAACTACATGCATTCCAATAGTCTCAAGATATGAAGAGTACTCTTCTAAAAACTTATTAACTATCTCTTTATACCATTGAATCGTGTTATTATTAGTAGTAATAGTAGTAGTTGAAGATGGTTGTTGATCATCACTTTTGGCATTAAATAAAAGTGGTGTTCTACAAAAATGTAACAGCCTGGAAGTACGAAATACGATAGATAAATCAGATTTGGCAATTGCATCTCTTACATCTATTCTTTTATCATTATTATGTTCTTGATATCTCTTTACCCATTTATTATACACTTTAAGAGCATTTTCGTGGTCTTGTAATATTTTGGCTTGTCGAATACAGGTGTCTATAAACGAGGGACCATGTCTCTTCAGCGCATCTTGGCTTTTAAAAATGGAATTAAATTCTTCTATTGGTTCGATAAACGAATCCTTAAGAACTTTTTTTACATTGAAGTTAGTTAAAGCGGATTGGTTAGCCTCGATTTCCTTTTTTTTTGATTCTTCATTCTTTGTATCACCAACTCTTTTGTTTTCTTCATTGTTATGATGTCTTTGCGGGAAACGTTGATATACCATTGAATCGATATGCAGCAAATCCTGATATCCGGATTTTTGATTATTCAATGTGCTTTCAGCTTGAGATGACGCTCTTTGGGGCCCAGGTATTGGAGGTTGCATAGCTCTAGGTGTATTGATTGGATTATGTACCAATGTGGAAGTTTGAGGAGTTGGTTTTGGTTGAGGACTATCAACATGATAAAATAACCCCATTTTTTGATGTAGGATATTATTTAGCAATCCAATTCGTTTATTATGCCAGTCAGAAATGCTTTTCATAGCTCCAAAGATTTGTTCAGCATATTGTTTCTCCCAATTGTAAATATAAATAGTCATTTCAAATCCATCAAATGACATTACTAAAAAACAAGATCGAAACAAATCAACCTTTTATCGGAAGTGAACCCCGTATTTATTCCAATAATTTTGCGAATTTTTCCAAAACTATCAGTAAGAGCTGAAAACTTTAATGTAGCATATGAGATTTATCGTCCTTACTCATCAACTCCTGACGCAGAAATGACATCTTCAACTAAATGTAAATATTTAATAATTGCTGGGCTGAAAGAGATGAATGTAAAGTATGGAATGGCAGTTGAAGATCGAAGAAATGATAGTAGTAAAGGTCTGTTACATTCTCGTGAAAATTCAGTAGAAGACTTCTCATCAAATGAAAAAGGTGGTGGTGGAGGTAATGGTAGTCACATT